CAACTCCAACCCATACAATCCACCACCCTCTAAAATCCGTATCGTATACGTATAAGTACAGCACAAAACACATACCTACCTGATCCTATCCAAAAATACAAAACCCTTCAACCCAGCCCAACCTCCCACCTCAAATAAAGAGGAGGACAAACTCCAAAACCGTATCCGTGCGAACCGTACCAATCACCGTTGCTTTGCGTTCATTCCCTCCGAAAGCGACACTTGTATTGCTCTGCTTTTTTGAAAATTTTCGGCTTAATTGAATTTTTAGTCTATTAACTATCACCTTGATTTCATTTTAGTCTAAAAACTATGTTTTATTTCTAAGTGGTTTATTAACTTTTAGATTCATTCCAATTTTGTCCAAGATAACGGAAAACTTCCTATTTTTGTTAGCGAACAGTTAGTCCTCTGACTATATTTTTTTTGATTTTTTAGTCCTTAAATTTATATTTGTTATAAAAATAATTTTTTTACTTAAAATTATTATTTATAGGCTCTGATAATAAATTTTTATATAGGTTTTCTTATTTTTTTAATTTGGTATCAGAGCCTCAAAGTTAATTAGACCACTTAGAAATAATAATTTTAAGTATAAAAATCTGGTATCAGAGCCTAAAAATAATAATTTTAAGTAAAAAAATTATTTTTATAACAAATATAAATTTAAGGACTAAAAGATCAAAAAAAATATAATCAAAAGACTAACTGTTCTATAACAGAATATGAAGTTTTCTGTTATCTTTGATCAAGTAGAATAGGAAGTTTTCCGTTATCTTTGATCAAGTAGACGAAATTGAAATGAATTTGAAAGTTAATAGACCAATTAGAAATAAAACATAGTTTCTAAACTAAAATGAAATCAAGGTGATAGTTAATAGACTAAAAATTGAATTAAGCCGAAAATTTTCTTTTTCAAAACTTAAAACACCAAAACCTCTATGTCTTTTTCTTGACTAAAACTCTCTCCTGTGGGTCCACACCAACCACTAACTCTAATCGACGTCTTGACCAAACCAACCCCAACCCCAACCATACTCAAAATAGGCAAAAACCTTCCCTTAAGCCCTCAAACTTGCCTCATTTTGGTGGATATACCTCTAAATTAATTAAAAAAAAGAAGCATGTAAGCACTTAAGCCATGAAATTAAAGCAAATTGATCTTTTATTGGTAGAGTCTACTCTTCCCTTCATTCATTTTTAATAAATTTAATTTGATTTTTTTACTTTTTAATCATGAATTTTAAATAAAAATTTAACATATTATATGAATAATAATTTATTTATTTTTATCAAATTAAAGTAGTCAACAAAAATTTTATATAAGAAGAAAAAAAATTTTAATTGTTATTCAGATAAATTGTTAAATTTTTATTTGAAATTCATATTTAAAAAATTAAAAATCAAACTAAACTTACTAAAAATGAACAAAGAGAGTAACATTTTCTTTTAATTTTAGCTAATGTAACTAATAACGTAGCAAATAAAAGAAATGACTTGCATTAATGGACATTTGCGTAACGAGCAGTGATATAGAGGATAAAAAATTAGGGAAACAAATTTGGAATTAATGATATGGTATAAGTTATGTTATTAAATAAGTTGATATATAAAAAATTATGAATCCTAATAAAACAAAAAAATGCTAATCATTAAATAATACATAATTTATATTTTAATATTTTAAGAGAATATTGATATAACAGTTAAAATTCAGTAGATAGTAGGTAGCAGGTAGCGAGTAGTAGATAGGAATAGTAGTAGTAAGTAATAGGTAGTGGGTGACAGTTAACGAGTAATGGGTGACAGTTAACAGATAATGGATAGCGGATAACGGATAATAGAAACTAAATAGCGAATAATAGATGGTAAATGGCAGATTCAGTGGATATAATTGTTTAATTTCACAATAATTAATGGTTGTTATTCAATATTAAATGATTAATAAAGACAGATTTAAAAATAATTAAATGTATTTTTATAAAATATTTTTTTATTATTAAAATTATTAATTTTATAAAAATAATAATAATGGAATAAATAAA